TGGAATACACACTATCCGTTATATCCGATTCACTTTCATAGACATCCAAAGCTCTAAATTGTCCCTGATCCACACGATAGTCTTTGGCGCGTGTTTGCTGTTTAGAGGTTTTGGGCGTAGCAAACTCTAAAGAGTCATTAGTTTCCACATTTTCTTCTGTTATTTGTTCTACACTGGAATCTAAGGGATTTTCTGCTTCTTCCCTGTTAACATCATTATCCACAACTGGTTTGACAGTTTCGGGAGCTTCTAGTAAACTATTTATATCGCTAGTTAGCAACAAAAGATCTTCATCATCAGCCATACCGCTGGTACCAGCCAACAAACGACTACGATCGTTTTGTCCTATAAAATCATCTGAAGATTGTATGGAACAGGGTGAAGTGCAGCGAGAAGAATTTTCCAAACGTTTTTCAGCACTTTCCGTAGCTGCTAACGATTGTGGTTTTATAAAACTGGCCGAAGTTGAAGACATTTGTACATCCGTAGAATCCAAAGCATTTTCTTCATGTTGCAATATTACGGCCACCTTTTCTTTATCTTCATCATCATCATCGCCACTATCATCAACGGTGTAAGTGGGTGGTGGTGGTATTGGTATCATAACAACATCACTACTATCCGATTCATTGTCTGAATCCAAATCAATTATTTCTGTGGGTTTTAGTTTACTAGCCAAGGCTGCAGCATTATTTTTTGCCTTTTTCGATTTTTGTTTTTTACTTTCCAAACGTTTGGCTTTTTGTAATTTTTGTTGCTGTTTAACGAATGGTCCCTGTTTGCCATTATTGTTAGCAGGGATTTTCTGATTTTTAGTGTTAACATTATTGTTGTTATTGTTTGCTTTTTTATTATTTAATTGTTTATTTCTTTCCATCCAATCGACCACAGGATTTAATTTTAAATTGGATTTTTCTGTTGTTGGTGTTTTTTGTTTTGCACTGTTGTGTTGATCTGTTGTTTTGTTAGTTTTATTTTTCTTGTTTTCATTTGTGGGGGTTGATGGATTAATTGATTCTTTGGATGTATTTTCTGCAGCTAAAGACGACGATGTGGTTGTACTTTTGTTAGCAGAAGGTGTTGTGGTTTTTTCTAAATAAAAAGAAAAAGGTATTTAAGTTAAAAAAACATTGAGGATTAAATCGTCTGTCAAAAACAATTCTCTGAAGACTCTAGATATCTATAACTACGTAAATCTCTTTAAAAGCTGAAGCATGTTCATCATCTCAAAACATCTTGTTTTACCACATATTTTCCCCGGTGATTATAGTTTACCTATAGTCTAAACTTTACTAAACACAGAACATTCCAATTAAACCACCATAATTTTATGAAAAATTACCTCTATTGCGTTAAAACCATGTGACCACTTTTAAAAATTCTATTCTAAAACTTACCTGTTTGTGATTTATTTTGATTTTGTGTTGTTTTAGAATTATCCGATGTTTTTGTTGTATTCGCATCCAAATTAGATGTTTGGTTTTCAATTTGTTTGTTTTGCTGTTGAGATTTATTTTGGAAAGACATGGATGCAGCACTTTGTTGATTTGGCGTTTTAAATGGATTACGTATAAAACGCTGCTTAGAATTTTGTTGATGTTGCTGCGTTTCTTGTACTTGCTGCTGTTTAGCAGACTGCTGCTGTTGCTCGCCACTTGCCCAATAACGTCTGGCTAAAATACGATTTGTATTCGAAGATGTTTCATAATTTGCATCCGTATTATTATTTCCAGCTACTTCACCATTGTTGGCATTTGTATCTACCACATTTTCCCTATTGGATACCTCAGTTGCCTCATGGTGTATTTGTGCGTACAAACGTGCCTCCAATTCATTAAGATCTTCCACATTCTCAATATCGACCTGTAATATTTTGGTTTTTTGTTTATATTTGTTTTCTTCATTATCTAAAAGAGCATTTCTTTTGCTTCCATATTTGTACTTACTTCGTCCATATTGATAAGGAAAGATTTAATGAAATAAAAATGTAAATTTAATGAAATTTAAATGAAATAAAGAATTATGTCGTCGTCTTTTATTACAAAAAATTTCACAAAGAAATTGAAATCAAAAATTCTAATTTTTTTCTTCTCTCTCTCATGTGGTTTTTACAGCGAGTACTGCCAGACTGGACAGTCAATAGTATACTGAGAGAAATTATTGTGCACTACTCGGTACTTTGCATCCAGGGAAATTTTGATGCTTTTAGAACGCGAATTCAAATAAGCAAATATCAGGTAAATAAACGAGTAATAAAAAACAAATGATACAACTAAGACAGTTGTTGTTTTAAGTAATTAATTAAATGGTAGACCGAAGTCTACCTGTTTATGATGCCTGTATAAAATGTCATTAATTTTCAGCTGTTCTAGGATTTTCAACTAGAAGTAACATCTGTTAAAGGATTGTAAATATGAAAATTTCCAATTGTATATTAAGCTGTCATTAGTCGTATTTAAGCCCAGTTTACTATAGCACACGAAATATTGTGTAGAAGAAGATAGTCTAAGTTAAAAAACCTTACAACAAAACTCTCATCAAATTAGCTAATTTGTTAATTAGGTACATGATGATTCGGGATAATATCAGATCGTCAAACATTATATATTTCGTATGATAGTGAACTCTGAAACTCTCGCTCATGGCGTAATTAGAGAGGTAACTGCATCGTTACAACAATATAAAAACAGCATAAATATAAATGTAAACAAATAACCATGATGTAATAAAGAAGCGTTTCGGCAACAAACACAACAAACACAATATTTTTTTGTTGCCAAGAGTTGGGTTTTGTCAAACTGAAATTTCTAAAATTGAAAAATAACAAACATTGGAAAGAAATATTTTCTGTGTATTTCACAATATTACCTATAAAACCGTCGTTACATTTAGCTTGTATCTGCAGCAGGACAATGTTTTAATGCTTCTTCATAAGAGTTTTCTTATTTGAAAACTTTTTATGAACATTTTAATTCATAAATTTAATTTTTTTTTGCTTTGAAAACACAACTATAATTTTTTTTAGAATAAAAAATAAATTAAATTATTTTGACACAAACCAAGCACTTTTTTAATAAATAAATAAAAATCAGCTGCCTTAACGATTTCACCTTACTTAGTGCATCCTGCAAATAACATTTATAACATGTAAACATTAGGGTGATCGACTCGATTTTTCAACCGGTTTTAAAACCGGGTTTTTCTGCTTTACCAGTGTCGGTTTTTTCTTAATGTTGATTTTTCGAATATCGAATAACCCGGTTTTTTCACTTTTTAAAAACCGGTTTCTAATACTTTTATTTGCTTTGTATTCAAAGATTATTTAAATGAAATTTTTAAGTAAATAATACAGCCCGTCTAAATTTTAAAAATATTCGAGTCGAGGAACTAGCGTATATTTTTCTACAGCTCCTTTGGTTAAACTTTTTTGTAAAATGGATAACTGTTTGATAAAATTTTATCAATCTTAAGATTATATTCCAATTACAATAATTAATTTACGGCTGAAATTTTATGGAAGTGTTGGAATGCCTATGCAAATTTCCTAAACAGGGCTTTTAAAATAAGCCCTTATGTTTAACAGAAGTGTCACACTTTTTTCCTAATTTTGTATATTAAAGAAATAATGTAAATCAGACGACTAGATCTAAAGTTATAATCTTTTAAACTGTTAAAAATCATTTCGGGCCATGTTTTATTAATCAAATTTAAACATAAACATTAGGTTTTTCAAATTAAAATATATTTTTTTTATTTATAATAAAAAACCGGTTAACCGGTTTTTTCTGAATTTGAAAAATATCAACCGGTTTTTTTTAAATGTCAACTATTCGAACTATTCGAAAACCGGGTTTTGAAAAATGTCGAATAATCGATCACCCTAGTAAACATAAATAAACAGCCCTACAAGAAATGTATGACCGAAACTAACACATACAAAATGATTTCACTAACACTCTTGCAACATTTTTTTTATAAAATTGCTAAAAAAAATAGTTAATGGATAATTCCATCAATAATGACAGTCAAATGACCGGTAAAATGACTGTTAATGTACCCAATGTGTGGTAAAGGGTTTCATTTGCATATGAAAGAGTGAAACAACTACATTTGACTGTACTGTGTTTTAGAGTTATATATTTCGACGTTATAAATTAATTATTTCTGTAAAAGCCAAAGATCAAGAAGCGAAAAATTTCAAAATTTACAAAGTCTATAAATTATTGAAAATAAAGAGAATTATTATAAACAGAATTTAAAAATAGTGCAGGAAGTGGAGCTGAAGATAAACACTTCGGAATTTAATCAATCTATGGTAACATGATTACTTACTTTTAATTTTTATATTTCGATATTTATATGTATTTCTTACAGACAACTTATTTCCACAAATTAAAAGGAGCATCAGCGGATTTAAGATCCTGCGAGGTATGTAAAATGGTGAAATGATTGTTAATTTATGTACATGCTTATTATATTAATAAAATTAACAAATATATATCTTATAATAATAATAAATTGTGTTTTATTATAAATTGGTATAGCCGTCACATTTGACGGATATATTCATCACATATGATTAGTCAACAATGACCGATAAATACATAATTTTTAATTTGTTAACTGTGATGGATATATCCATCAAGCATGATCAGTCAATCCTGACTAATATTTATGTCATCCTTGGTTAGTAAACAACAAAAGAGTGAGGAGCTCAAATATATGTTTTAAAGTCGATAGAATACATAAGTGCAAGGGAGAAAAAAAATCACATGTACACAAATGTTTCCATCACTTTTGTCCATTTGCCTTAAGAAACTGATAGAAACTTTGCTTTACGCTGTGATAGAAATAATACATCAGTAGTGCCAGTCAAATGACCTATCAAATGACTGTCACTGTTCTTGTAGGGAGCCTTGTCGCAGTCACCTTTCTTAATATGCCATGCTCTCGCTTATATGGTGTCGAAAATCGCTAGAATTTTATAAGCTTAAAGTGGCAATACTATTTCTAGCACAGTTTGACAGTTTTTCAATCAATTTCTATTGTGTTTTTTTCTTGAACAAGCCGGGCCACGTAGAATTTGCAAGATTTGTGTTAAAATTATAAAAATATATATAAACAATTAATAATTTACAAAAAAAACGTAAGTAAAATCTATAGAAAAATGTAAAAATTTACTTAGCATTTTTTACTTGCAGCATGGAATCCACAATGCAACGTTATGTATCGCCCATTAATCCGGCTGTTTTTCCTCACTTAGCCACAGTATTGCTCATTATTGGTACATTCTTTACCGCTTGGTTCTTTATCTATGTTGTATCCAGACCTAAGAATACCAAAGAGAAGACTCTGTTTAAAGAATTGGCTATTAGTTTATGTGCTTCAGTATTTTTGGGTTTCGGTATAATGTTTCTAATGTTGGCAGTGGGTATTTACATTTAAATGGACTCAGAATGGTATAAATGAAAACACACCTACGGCCCTCTTTATTCACTAGGATTGGTTTGAAGCTTATTGAAAACCTACATTAATATTAATAATGCTAAACGTACATTTATAAGTATGCGCAAAACATTCAAAAGCAACCAAAATTTTGCAATTCCAATTTTTATTAAATAAAAGAAAATAAATATCAAAATTTCTTAGTGAATTGTTTTTAAAAAGTCGCAGCTTTATTATCATCAAGGGTCATCGCACAATTTTGTTGAAAATTTAGAACAAGTCGATCGAATGCATAGCCCTAATTCTAATCAACAAAGTCGTTTTTCATTTTTGATAAAATTTTATTTCTAACAGTAATTTTATTAAATTAAGAAATCTCTAAACAAAATACTTTTTCGTTTAATTAAAATTTTCGGAAAATTAAAAAAATTGTAGATCTAAAAACAGTTTTCCTCAATAATTTGAATTGAACATAAAATAACATAAAAAAGCAACTTAACAAAACTACATGATTTGTTTTTAAATAAAACTATGGACAACAAATATGCAGATGAACTATAAACCATTACTGTTTGTGTATGCAGTGATGAACAAACTCTTTAAAAATTTATTTAACTTTTAATTTTGAGATTTTTGTTTATATGATGATATTTGAATATATTGTTTGTTTGTGTTTTATATATAAATATATTTGATTATTAATATAACTATAATTAAATATCATTTTATCGCTTTTTCTCTTCTCTTTGTGATCAATTAGATATCCTCTTTTTATAATAACTTTTATAAAATTTTAATACATTTTTTTTATACGCTATTTAACGGCAATGACATGAACATAAAAATCCTTAGAGAATTTTTACTTTCAATTTCTTTTTCAATCATTTCATTTTTGTAACTTTAATTAACCAGCTAGACCAGCCTTTTGTCTGCACTTTTGCATAATGGCACGCAGCATAAATTGTTTGCGTGATAACTGGCGTACGTGTTTTAAAAATGTTTCCAAATCAATGACACCACTGCGTAAGGCTTCACCTAAATAGTAAATGGCATCTTCGGTGGCGGCTTCTTCAGCATAAGCATTAAGTAGTCTGAAAAATGAAGGAATTGTGGAATAAACTTGTTTATTGCTTAATTATTAGATTTCAACTTACTGTCTGTATAGAGGAGCTGTGGTGGTAACAGCTTCATCTGGATCAATGCCTTCAGAATTTTCTAAAGTCTCTAGACTTTTTTCCAGCTCTTGTTCTTTATCACGTAAAATATTTATATTTTTTTGTAAATCAACCTAAAAATTAGATTAAATTTAAATACGTTTAAATAAAACTTTTTGCTCTTACCTCCTCTCTCTTTAAACGGGCTATGATTGAATCAATTTTAGTACTACCTTCTACCAATTCTTGTTTGGTACGATTTAGAGTATCGATTTCGGCTTGATATTGATTTACTTTTTCCTGCAGACGGCGACGTAATTTATCCTCTACAGCACTAACCAAAGAAGCTTTTATATGTTCCTCAGTTATGGTACCGGTTGAACTGGGATTTGAAGGATTCTATTTTAAGTACTAGATTAGTTTTAACTGTTGTAAAGGGGGTTTCGTAAAACAACTTACATAGCCTGAATTGTAACCTGGAACTGGTGGGAAATTCATATAGGGTGGATAACCTGCGCCACCACCTGAAGTGGCTGCTGGCATAGCATTACCCGATGATGTTGGATATGGTGGATAACCACCAAAACTATTACTTGGTGGATAGGGTGGAAAAGCTCCTCCACCAGATGGATATGGCAAATATGAACCACCGGATGCCGCTGCGGTATTAGGATTTGCTGCTCCACCCGGCTGCGGCATAAAGGCTAAAATAAAGAATGAATTAGGAAAGTTTTTTATTTGGTACTAATATTTAATGAACTGCAAGGTGCTATGATCTAATTAGAAATAGTATTAACACAAGATCTGTTTAAGTAAAAGAGAGATTTCTAACAAAATATACACAAAACTGAATTCTGAAAATTGCTTTAATAAAAAACGGAATACGTCTTTAGCCAATAGAACGATGTAAAGGCAGTTTCATGGCAAATAGTATAAGCTTAACTACCACATCGAAGAACCATTTGGCTGAAAATTGTTTAAAACTATGCTCTACGAAAACCAACAAAAAATACTTACATCCTGTTGGATATGGCGTAGACGACGTTTGATCTTTACGCACCGAATACACTGGTGGATGATCTCCAAATGTAACAATCATTACTTGAATCAAAGATAACAAATCACTTGAATTCTATAATAGAAAAGTAAACATTCAATCAGACCACTTCAAAAATTCTATAGCAATAACACTTACAGGTTGCCAGTCATGCAAATAGGGTAAATAGATTCTGCCATTATGATCCACATACATTGATACTTTAATCAGCATATTTGGTGTAGGTTTTACAAAACACATAGGAGCATTCATAGGATGTGTGTCCATTAGCCAAATACAAATGGGAATGTAATATGTATTGTCTGTAATTGTAAAATCAAAAGCGTACTAAAGTAAGACTCATAAATTAATCAAATGAACTTACTTTTATAAACCACCGGAATGGTGCCCTGTAAATTAAACAAATCCCTAGTACTGCCATCATTAAAAACTGCAAAAATATTAAACAATAAAATTTTAGTAAATAAGCACTATTGAACTCCATAATATAAATCACGCATACCAAATTTTTGTAAATTATATGATAAACTGCGATAGCTTGTTATAACATCGACCACTTCCTTTTTGGTGGCATTAACATGTTTATACTGCAAATGTTATTAGAGCATTAGAATACAACAATAAATCATTTTTTAATTCAATAAACAACTGCGACATATGTACATATTCATTCCTTATACTGTACATATATATATTCCATGGCCCATACCCTGTGATTATTATTCTTCTTTGTTTGGTTTCTTCGTTGTGGGATTTTACATTTTTTTTGTTTAGCAATAACTTACCTTTGATAGAAGTTTAGCAATTTGTGCTTCCTCTGATGCAGGCACCATTTTATATTTTTTTTAATCCTTAATGGTAGTGAAATATTTAAAATTGGTATATTTTTAATTAATTTTAATAATAGTTTGTTCGATTTTTTTTAGAATAAATTTCTTCAGCAATAATTTTTTTTCTGCAATAATTTTTTTGACGTTTCTTCTCTTCGATGAGTAATTTGATAAACAGTTGTTGAAAATTAAGGTTGCCATATTGTGGGTTTTCAAAGAAACTACAACTCTGTTAAATTTATCTTAATTATCTAAAAAGAGTTGTCCAAGATTTGGTCCTTCACTACGAATAAAGCTACGTTATGCTATTTGCCCTCCATATTTTAATATTTGAGACATTTTTCAAATATCTTTCTTTTAATACTCATATTTCCTATGTAAACAATTGTGGAAAAAACATGGTGGTTTTCGCAATCACAGTTATTTAGTGTACAATCTTGATGATTTTTAATAACAAATTTATGGAAAGCATGTTCCATGGAATTATTTACATATGATCTTGATTCTGAAGATATTGGTAGCCTTCTGGACATCAAACGGAAAAAAAGGGAAAACAAGACATGTACGGCTAGGGAGGGGACCGGGCCAGGGAGCGAGCGAGCGAGCGAGCGAGCGAGCGAGCGAGCGAGCGAGCGAGCGAGCGAGCGAGCGAGCGAGCGAGCGAGCGAGCGAGCGAGCGAGCGACCGAGCGAGCGAGCGAGCGAGCGAGCGAGCGAGCGAGCGAGGAGCGAGCGAGCGAGCGAGCGAGCGAGCGAGCGAGCGAGCGAGCGAGAGGGAGGAGCGAGCGAGCGAGCGAGCGAGCGAGCGAGAGGCGAGCGAGCGAGCGAGCGAGCTTATCGAGCAGAGAGGAGCACAGAGAGAGAGAGCAGCGACAAGATAGCGAGCAGCGAGCGAGCGAGCGAGCGAGAAGAGAGCAGCGAGCGAGCTAGCGAAGCGAGCGATCGAGCAGCGAGCAAGACGATTAGCGAGCGAGCGAGCAAGCAGCGAGCGACGACGACGCAGCGAGCATCAGCGAGCTAGCTAGAAGGAGCAGCGAGCTATCTAGCTATCTATCTATTATCACTATCTATCTATCTATCTTATCTATCTATCTATCTATCTATCTATCTATCTATCTATCTTCTATCTATCTATCTATATATCCATTATATATATCTATAATTCTATCTATCTATCTATACCCCGATTTTGACCATTCCGTTTCTTAAAATATTGTACTTGGACAGACCTTTATTCTGGGTCCTTATTAGTTAAACGATCCAGCCATTTCGATTTGTATGCCAGTTGAAAACAAATCGATTTACACAAATGTTTACACATTGGCTTAAAAATTCAAATAGTGATGCAATTCAGGATAAATACATTCTTTTATGAACCAAAATAATCTTTCAGGAAATATAAAGAATAATCCTAATCAATCGTTTATTTTAGGTTTATTACAATCAAGATCTTAATTAAGTATTTATGAATTAGGGGGTTAAGCTTTTGGAAGTGGTGCCTCTGATAGATTAGTGGTAGTTTTCTAGTCTGACAGTCCGTAGATCGTGGATTCGTCCTGATAAAAGAACGCAAAACAGGCCCCATATAGGCCTACATGTATTTCTTCGGATCTGATGTAGCTTCAAATTAACTAACTACGCTTTTAAATTAAAACCCAACGAATGATTTTTAAGAATCGAGTATTCAAAAATTTCAAGTTAATTCTAAATATAGTTCATGCTTTCTAAGCTTTATATTGAGGTTAGTTTTTTAGTGATTAGTGATTGATTAGATATTTGAATATTAATTTGATTAGAAAAGTGCAGCAAATATAAATGAACTAATACGCATTCATAATTTATAAATTTGTGTTATTTAGGAATAATTTTAAGAAAATCTATTTAATTTGTGAAAAAATAAATAAAATGCCAATTATGCAATTATGAAATTTTATTCAAATATCTTGATATTTTTTTGTACAAAGTCAAATGAAATTATTAATTAATACAAATATAAAACATAAAATTAAATTGTATATAAAACGGAGAAAAATGTTAATATTAAATGATATTTATAACGACATAAATAATGGTTAAACTAAAAAAAAAGTGCTAAAGACTTGCAAAATGTATTCGATTATTATTTATTAGCTTGAGATTTACAATTGTCAGTAAGAACTTATGTAGTAAAAGTGGTAGCAGAAGTAGTAGTAGTAGGTAGTAGTGGTGGTTGGTAGTAGTAGTTATATTGGATGGGTTTGAAGTTAAGCAAATCTATTGGCTTAGTTTGAATTTGACTTTTAAGTATGGAGTTATTAGATGATTTGAATTGTGTATGAAGAGTTCGTAAGTGCTCACAGTTATTTTGATTTCTTGGTATGTCTGCAAGAAAACGTAAAAAATAATAAATTTAAAAACCATTATTGTAGAGAATTAAAGAAATTTATAAAATAATAAAATATTTAGAGTAAGACTAAGAATGTTATAAAAGTTTATAACAAAAATAAACCTAAAATACAGTTACCGAATATTTTTTTCAATAATTAGTTTGTTAAAAAAATTGAAAATTTTACTTTGACCATAATTATGTTTGATTTGTTTTATTTATTTTAAATATTTTTTTTTTGTATATTTAGTACACATATCATTTTTTATTATATTTAAATTCTACCAAAAAAAAAATCATTTCTAAAATTTTTTTTCATATGCTGTATGTATAAGTATGAACTCACATAATAGGAATAATGGGCTTATTTTTTTATTGCATTTTTTCAATATTTTTATGTTTTTTTTTTTTTTTTAAATTTGATTGGATTTTCTTTTTATTTATTATTTTTGTTTTCTCTTTCTTGTTTTGTTTTTATAAGGATACAAATATAAAAATAAATTATCTGCATTTTTTTATATATTTTTTTTAATATTATTTGTTGTATATATTTGTAATTATTATCAAAAATGGGGGAATATAGTATGTATAGGTATATATTGGTTATATGTAGTAGTAGGTATGTATGTAAGTGTGAAAGTTGTCTGCTGATGTTATGTTAAATTAACTTTTAAAATTAAATAATATGGATTTTACACGTCTTAGTAGTAGAATTGTGTAAGATTAACAGATAACAATAAATATTAGCCTTATTCATATCCGACTAAGTTGCAAAAGTCGTACCCATGGAGCTAAAGAATACTGCGTTGTAGCCGAATCTGTCATGAAAATCGAGATATCGTATAACATCTGGTTTTCAAGATATCGTAACGTAATATTGGAAAAAGCCTTGTTTTCGCCATATGCTAGTAAGGATTATTAGATCTTTACATGGGTTAAAATTAGGATCGTAAATGGGGACCAGGTTCACCTAGTATTCTATAAGTTGAATTTTGTTTCGAACTTATTCTATAAATCGAAATTTTAATAAAATATTTATTCGAATACTTCGTTTACATCGAAAAATTATTCTTTAAGCCCCCTTTACACGAGCACACAAGTAATATAATCTGTCAAAATTTTGTGTAGAAGAGTACGAATGAAACCATCACACACTGAAAGAAGATACGTTTTGAAATGATTCCAAAAAAAAGCAAGTGGCATTAGATCAGGGTTGTGAATTTTATGTAAACACATGCAAAAAAAATGAAACAGCTGTTTACATCTTACTTTGTTATTGTTTTATACCAATCGTGTAAACAAAAAATATAAATCATACAACTTTTATTCTCTTTTTTGTCATACGTATGAAATTTCATTAGACTTTACGTATGTACGTAAAGTGTGATTGTGTAAAGGTCCCTTTATATCGAAAATTTATTTGAAAATTTGAAAATTTAAAATATTATGATGAAAGTTAAGAAAAACTAAAAAACAACATGAAAAATATGCATATTTTGTGATAAACAAACTGATTATTCATTTATTATTAATACGCCTTAAGGATTTTATATTAAAAATAAACAATTGTTAAAATAGACAAAATATTTTTTAATGATAAATTAAAAAAAAATCGCTGGTCTATTTTGGAATATTATTTAAACTAATAATTTCGTTTACAATATGCTTTTTCCCCTATAAAATACAATTACAAATGTTTTGTTTTTTTTTCAAATTTTCTTCTTAAGTTTTTAGATTATTTTGTTTTTATTTTTATTAATATGTTAAAAAATTTGTATTCAATATTCATATCAGTCTATTGCAGATCAATATAAGAAAAATAAAGAAAAAACATAACCCAATATAATCTAAAAAGAATTAGCTATAATTAGAGAAGTATAGAATGGTTATCCATTTTTTGTAACTGGTTATTTGTGGAATTATTACTTTTTTAAATATTATTTGTAGAGAAAAAGAAACAATCATTATTATTTGTTTACCATTAAATTAGAAGTAAAAAAAATAATAAACTAAAATTTTAAAATATAAAAAAAAACAACAGTGTGCTTCTTACAATTGTTTAGCCTGTGTTTGTTTGTGTTTGTGGAAAAAATATAAGAGAGTTTGTTAGGAGAGTGTAGGGTGTATAAATATGTATGTATATTGTTCGTATTACTTGATATAAACATTTTGTGTTACAACTATAATTTTTTTGTTTCTTTTTGGGCAATAAAAGGAAGTGTACTTGTGTTTTTTTTTAATATTTTAAAATTTATTCCATGACAAACAGAACGCTTTTGTAGTTTCAATACTTATCATTATTTGAAACAAATTTCAATAAAATAGAAATTTATTCGAACTTTTTCTTTTTTTATTTTCGATATATAAGTAAAATTTTTCGAATATTTTCTTTATAGCAAAATTTGATTCCAATATTTTTCATCAATCGAAAATTTTCACGCATATATTCTTTATATAGAAATTTTATTCGGATATTTTTTATAAATTAAATTTGTATTTTATTCGATTATTTTCTATAAATAGAAAATTTATTCAAAAATTTAATCGAATATTTATTTTCCATATATAACTAAAATTTATTCGAATATTTTCTTGATAGCAAAATTTTATTCCATTATTTTTAACAAACGAAAATTTATTCGAATATATTCTTTATATAGAAATTATTTATTTTATTAAATTTTTTCGATATAACGAAAATGTATTCGAATATTTCTTATAAATCGAAAATGTATTCGAATATTTTCTTTAAATCGCAAATGTATTCGAATATTTCCTATTTTCGATATAACGAAAATGTATTCGAATATTTCTTATAAATTGAAAATGTATTCGAATATTTTCTTTAAATCGAAAATGTATTCGATTATTTCCTATTTTCGATATAACGAAAATGTATTCGAATATTTCCTATTTTCGATATAACGAAAATGTATTCGAATATTTCTTATAAATCGAAAATGTATTCGAATATTTCCTATAAATCAAAAATTTCTTCGAATATTTTTTATAAATCAAAAATTTATTCGAATATTTTCTTTACACATATCGAAATTTTATTCGAATATTTTCTATAAATCGAAAATTTGTTCGAATATTTTCTATAAACCGAAAAAAAAATTCGAACATTTGTAATATATCGAAAATTTATTCGAATATTTTTTTTTGTATCAAAAATTTATTCGAATATTTTTTTATATCGAAAATTTATTCGAATATTTTCTTTGTATCAAAAATTTATTCGAATATGTTCTATATAACGAAAATTATTTTTAAATATTTTCTATATAACGAAAATTATTTTCGAATATTTTTCATATAACGAAAATTTTTTCGAACATTTTCTTTATATCGAAAATTTATACCAACATATTCATTATATCGAAATTTTATTCAAACATTTTCTATAAAACGAAAATTTATTCAAACATTTTCTATAAAACGAAAATTTATTGAAATATTTTTTTTATAACGAAAATTTATTTTAAAATTTTCTAAAAATGGAAAATTTGTGTGAATATTTGAATACGAGAACTCTATGTGAAAAAAACTGATTCAAAAATTTCCTCTAAATTTAAAATTTATTCGAAAATTTTCTACAAATATGTATTGTATTCGAAAAACATTTCTCGTTTAGATAAAACTAAAACCAAAACTGTTTTATAGCTTTCAAAATCTCGAATAATTCCTGGAAATTTTAGCTAGAAAACATTTTATTTGAAACCTTGTTAAAACATTCAAAAAATCACAATAATGAAATTTTGTTTCTAAATATAGTTTTTATTTTGAAAAATTTTTAACACACAAGTTATTGGTCAGTAGAGTTTTCACTACATATCTGAGGCCAGTTTAAAGTTCAATTAAACACTCAAATTCCTTATCCAAAATTTTGTCTATAAAAAAATCTAAGCTTCAACACACTTTAAAAGAAACATGTTCAGTTTGTCGTGTTAATTAAAATCCGTTATTTCAAAAACCAAAAAAATAAAGAAAATGATTAAATCATTTTAATTTTGTTTAAAGCTCCTGTGTTTGGTATGTGTGTGTGTTTGTGTAGTTTATGCCCATAATTTCTTAAATGTTTTAATAATAAGTGTTGTTGTTTTTGTTGGTATTGTGTGCGTTCTTACTAAAAATTAATATGATATTAGATTTCTATTTGTAAAAACTAGGTTTTCACAAATAAAACTAAAAATTATTTTACTTTTTTTTTTGTTAAATATACTCTTTTCTTGTTATTTCTTTTTTCTTTAAATTATTATTATACTTCTTCTGGTTTTTTTGTGTTTAATATACTTATATAAATGTTATTCACTTCATTATTATTAGAAAAAAATTCATTTAGTCGATGTTATCATTTAGAAATATATAAATTATAAAAAAAAAAAATAATAAATTGTGGCAAAAACATTATCGTTTGATTGTTCGTTACCATATATGTATTCTCACTCTTCTATATGTTCTCAATTTTTTCATGTGTTTTGTGTTTAATATGTGTTTAGTAGTATAACTTTAAGTTTGTTCTTTTGTCGTTTGTTTGCATTTTTTCTTTTCTCTAAACGAACACACAAAATTAAAAGAATGTGATCTGCAAAATGGAAATTTTTCGAAAGTAGAGAGAAAATAGTGTTGGTGTATGTGGCTGGCTTAAAATTGAAATTGGATTAAATATTTAAGCCCATTTTGAATAGGCATAAACACAGATAACACCCACAATAACACCTGCTGTTATATAAGTAATTAATGACCTTCGTTTTTTCGCCGCTTGTTTGTTCTCCTCGTTTTCACGTTGTTTTCGTTTGATTTCATTAACTTTTTGTTCAATATTCGCCTGGTGTTCGGCACGTTTTCTACGTCGTAACTCAGGACTGAAAGAGAAAGACATAAGTTTTAACATATTAAATTATAAAACAACGAGAGTTAAAGCCTACCTTGTAGAGCCACTGGTATTTGCAGTCTCAATGCCATTTAAGTTCATGGAATCATATTCTACACTTTGTTCGTTCGTTGTTGCATTACTATGTTGCTGCTGCTGATGCGATTGATGATTAAATTTATCTTTATTTCTTGATTTGCTATAGTTGGCATTATCCTTATCTTCTTCGTGGTCATTGTTATCATCGGCATCGTCATCATCATCATCATTATCGTCAATATCATCTTCTTCACTATCATCATTTTCAAAGTATTCGTTTTCATCACTATCCGATTCGTGTACACGATTCAATGAATTATTCTGTTGTGTTGGCAGTGGTGGAAGTGGTCGATTTGTCATGCTTGTATTACTTTCAGAACTTCTCTCATTATTTATGAAATTATTTAGAGCATCTTTGTTGGTGTTGTCATTGTCGGGTGCGTAAAGGTCATCGTTAAAACTAACACTGGCCGGTATTTTGGGCAGTGGTTTACCTTGTGAACCAGCCAAATTCAGCCTTAAAATGCCATCAGCTCCACTACCAGCCAAAGGTAAGAGGGAATGGGTGCGCGGTGGTAAGGGCGGTGGTGTTTCATCTATAATATATTGCTCATGATGTTGACTATCATCACTGGTAACAATAGGCGCTTCATTGTAATCAATGAATTTCTATTGAATCGAAAGGAGAGAGAGAGAATCACAATTATTACCATAAAATTACGATGAAATTTGTATTTGAATTATTTTTATTGTTTGTGGTTTGTTTTGTGAACTGATTGTTTTTTGGGTGACAAAAATTAGAAATTTGAATTTATTGGGAAAAACCATAAAACATAGTTTGTAAATATCTTTTAACCCCTCACAATATCTGGTTTAAGTGCTAAATGTTAATTTAAAATATGTTTTTAAAAAATCATCAAGCATCAAACAATTATTCAAAAGTTTAAGAATCTATATCAAAATTAAATAATAAAAAAACATCTAAAACAAATCACAAATCTATAACTTTGAAAGCACGACAAACAAGTGATAAAAACCCAAATAAAAAACACTCAATACTTACCGGATCTTTAAGTAATTTAATGCCTTCAATAATAGCTTGATATGAAAAATACAATTGATCGGCGGTTTGTATAAGACCCATACGATATCTACGCAATTCATATAAAACATCTTGTACAGATACATTTTGAACACCTTCCTTGTCAACCTAAAAAAAAAAAAAGAAAGAATAAATTGTCAATAACTACATAAAATCAACAATCATTTTAGCTTACCAAAACTAAACAACAATCCACTAAACAGAATGTACCCGAACGACCTATACCAGCACTACAGTGCACAACGGCAGGACCAACATCTGGCTCTAAAGCACCTGAATCGCGTACTTGTTTAAGGAATTGCAAAAAAGCCACTGGTGAACTGGGAATGCCAAAGTCGGGCCAGGTGGTATAATGGAATTGTATAATTTCGCGACTTTGATTCGATTCAATATCTGTTAATCTAAAATTATAAAAATTCTCAATAAAACAGTTTCAAGACCAATAAAAAATATATTGACACCTACTTAAACCATCGCACACAAAAGTTTTTGTACTCTTCACAACGTAAAAATTCGATGGTCAATTTAACTTCATTCAATTTGAGAGCATTTTCTAGACCTTTACGTTCTGGCCAATACAAATGACATTTAACTTGTTTCTTTTCCATCAGTTTATTTAACATCAGTATTGCTTTTGTTTTTTGTTCCCAAACCATTAACCAAAAATGCCCAACCGTATCACCGAGTGGTCCTTGTGTTAGAATATATTTACGTTCAGCTCGTTCAAGCTAATAAAAGTTTATATGAAATGAAATTTTTTTAATAATGTTTTGGTTTTCTTTTTACCTTTACTAAGTTGGCATTAATGTAATCGACACCGCCTCTGTGTATAATAATTCTTGAATGATCGTATGGGTTAACATCTCGGTATCTGTTCAGGCAACGATTTTGTGGTTTTTCTGATTCAATTGTCCCGAAATGTTTTTCATTTGCTTCACGTTCACATTTTTCGCGAATTTCCTGTAAAAGAAGAAAATAATTTTTATTTAGGTCAGTTTAAGTTAGCATTTTTTTGGTGCGGAAATCTTTAAGATTATATAACATCAATGAACTTAACTAGAACCGTACTACAACAGAACTGAACTAGAAGTGAACTAGAACTCAACTAGAATTCAACTAGAACTGAACTAGAACTGAACTAGAACTGAACTAGAACTGAACTAGAACTCAACTAGAATTCAACTAGAACTGAACTGAACTAGAACTGAACTAGAACTGCACTAGAACTGAACTAGAACTAAACTAGAACTGAAATAGAACTGAACTAGAACTAACCTAGAACTGAACTAGAACTGAACTAGAACTGAACTAGAACTAACTAGAACTGAACTAGAACTGAACTAGAACTGAACTAGAACTGAACTAGAACTGAACTAGAACTGAACTAGAACTGAACTAGAACTGAACTAGAACTGAACTAGAACTGAACTGAACTGAACTAGAACTGAACTAGAACTGAACTAGAACTGAACTAGAACTGAACTAGAACTGAACTAGAACTGAACTAGAACTGAACTAGAACTGAACTAGAACTGAACTAGAACTGAACTAGAACTGAACTAGAACTGAACTAGAACTGAACTAGAACTGAACTAGAACTGAACTAGAACTGAACTAGAACTGAACTAGAACTGAACTAGAACTGAACTAGAACTGAACTAGAACTGAACTAGAACTGAACTAGAACTGAACTAGAACTAAACTAGAACTGAACTAGAACTGAACTAGAACTGAACTAGAACTGAACTAGAACTGAACTAGAAATGAACTAGAAATGAACTAGAACTGAACTAGAACTGAACTAGAACTGAACTAGAACTGAACTAGAACTGAACTAGAACTGAACTAGAACTAGAACTGAACTAGAACTGAACTAGAACTGAACTAGAACTGAACTAGAACTGAACTAGAACTGAACTAGAACTGAACTAGAACTGAACTAGAACTGAACTAGAACTGAACTAGAACTGAACTAGAACTGAACTAGAACTGAACTAGAACTGAACTAGAACTGAACTAGAACTGAACTAGAACTGAACTAGAACTGAACTAGAACTGAACTAGAACTGAACTAGAACTGAACTAGAACTGAACTAGAACTGAACTAGAACTGAACTAGAACTGAACTAGAACTGAACTAGAACTGAACTAGAACTGAACTAGAACTGAACTAGAACTGAACTAGAACTGAACTAGAAATGAACTAGAACTGAACTAGAACTCAACTAGAAATGAACTAGAACTCAACTAGAACTGAACTAGAACTGAACTAGAACTGAACTAGAACTGAACTAGAACTGAACTGAACTAGAACTGAACTAGAACTGAACTAGAACTGAACTAATTAGAACTCAACTAGAACTGAACTAGAACAGAACCAAAATTATTTATTTCAATTATTCATCGATGTTTTAATTTATCGTCCAAAAGTGACTTGTGGATCCTAAATCATGAATTTGTTCGTTATGTAATAATTATTAATTATTTCAATATTTGTCTCGCTTTGGAAATAAACAAAAGATTGTTTCTCTTTAAAATCTAAATCTTAAGATACACTTATAAGAATTATATGTATACTCAGACAAATTCTGAAAAAATATTTATTTAAAACAAAAATAAAATCTGCTATTCTAAGGAAAAATACACATAAAAAACCTTTTTTGAGTCAGCCTGGGGATTAACTTGTAGGGCAAACCAAAGAAGGTATTCAGAAGAAAAATAAATTTGTACAAAAACTTATTTTACTTTAACATTTTTCAATTATTTTATAGATGTTTCAAACATTCTACTGCCGCTACAGTTACGTGTGTTTAAATGCATAAATATTAATTCATAATGCAACATTATAATATGATGGTTTTAGTTTTGTCTTGCTTCATGCTTCATAGTTAATAAGGTGACTTTTTTTTCTTAATTTCTTATTATGTACTTTTTTCTACGTTACGAAAACATTGTTAGTTTGTTGCAAATACATACAGTGAAATGAGGAAGTAGAACTTAAATGAAAGGGGGTTTATAAGAAAAATTTATTCAAAATTTTATATTGAGTAGATAATGGTGTAGTTTAAAATCTGTAGTTAATATTTAGATGATTTTTTATGCTAATTTATAACGTTAAAGGAAATATGTATTTAGTAATAGGGAAACGATTTTTTATACTATTTGTACAGTGATGAGCAAAAACAGATTCTTTATTTTAGTAAGTTTGTTTGAAGTAAAATTAAAAGCCTGTTTCTTTAATTTTATTGTGTTGCAAATCAATATAGGGTATTTACACTTTTTTAGTCACTATACATATAAGTATATACACACTATAATAAAAATCAAAGTAATAAATGTATGAATACAATTATTTTTTTTTTCTAAGACTGACTATAACAATAAAGTATGTTAAGTTGTTATTATTTCCATTTAACATGCAATGAATTTAACTAAAAAAAACTGTTTTATTTCAATAACTTGTACGTAATTGTTGTTTTAGCTTAATTAATTAAAAAATATGTACCGTTTAAAAGAAGTACATAATTAACAGGACCATTAGCGGTTTGATTAAAAATCAGAACCTTTTTTTAATACATAAACATTTTTATAGTTTTATAATAAGCATTTAAACAAAAAAGTATGTAAAGAAATTATAATTAAATATATTTTTAATAATAAATGTTAAAAACAAAAGCATGCCGATGACAGGCTGTAGTGGACAAAAAAATATTTCTATTTTACTATAACGAAAAAACTTTTTCTGTAAACTACAATAAAATATATTGTTTTTCTAAGAAATTTAAATGATTTAAAGTTTGAACCTAATTAAATTGTTTTGCATAACAGTAAAAATTTTGTCCATTTTACGTTGAAGAGAATAAGTTTCGCCTTAAATTCATGAGAAATTGTTAATTAGATTTCGCTGTATTGTATATTATAAGCCTATACTGTAGTCTTAACTAAGGTCCATTATATGGAATATTTTATAGTCTATTCTATAAGACTATTCTGAAGACTCGACTATAGCCCATTTTATACTTATAGTATTTTCTTTAGCCTCGAATCTAGTCTATACTTTAGTTTCGACTATAATATATTCCATAGTCTCGATTATAGTCTCAACTATAATCTATTTTATAGTCTCGATTATAGTCTATTTTATGGCCTCGTCATAGTCAATTCTAAAGTCTAGATTATAGTCTATTCTAAGGTTTCGATTAAAGTCAATTATAAAGTTTTAATTTGATTCTATAACCTCAAGTATAGAATCCGACTACAGTATACTCTAAATTATTGACTATACTCTATTCTATAGATAGATTTATATAGTATAATCCATAGTCTCGACTATAGTCTTGACTATGGCCTCGAAGAGTTTTTTCTATAGTATATTTTATAGTCTCGACTATAGTATGTTATATATTCTCAATAATCTCTCTCAACTATAGTCTATTTCATAGTCTAGACTAGGTATATGTAGTCTATTCTATAGTCTCTACTATACTATTGTCTATTATATTTTCTATTCTTTGGTTTCAAGTATAAACTATTCTACATATTTTATATTGGTCTTTCCTTTTAGTTGTTATAAACTCGGTACATTTCTCTGGGGACAGATTTACTTTTTACATAAACACTGCTTTCTACGAACATTTTTCAATTTAAACTATTCGAGTTCCAATTAGACTATCCGACAAGAGATTTTTTAGGAATAAACTTGAAAATGTTGCGAAAATTAAATGTGAACAGTAAACTATGGTGAAATTTTCTAAGAATAATATTTGCAAAGGCTGAAACAAAATAATTCATCATATGTAGGTACATACTAACAATTAATTAAACACTTGAACTCCAACAACAAAAAATACATGTAAGTTAAATACATAAAACAGTTTTAAACTAATCGTAAAGTTTTTTTTTTTGCTGGTATGAAAAATAAACGATACAAAATAACGTTTTTTACTTAAAGCTGTCTAAATTGTCAGTGAGTTTTATTTTTTAGCTTTAAAGTTAGTGATGATGCCTTTATATGCGCACTCATCAGGTTTTCGTGGAAATTAAACTTCTTCTTAAAACGAAAGGAGCAAAAGCCAAAACGAACAAACAAACAAACAAACATCCAGCCACCAGACAAGCAACAAAAATAAAAACAACAAACGAAATTAAGTTGGATTTGTACGACTAAACGTTACCCTACCAGTATAGGGTGCCTAATATGATTTCACAATTCTATAGGATTTAATTTCTCATATTTTTTAAATAATTATTATAATGAAAGCTATTTAGTTTGACAAATTCTATAGTAATATACAAATATATCTATGTACATATGTGGGTTTGCATGATATCAGTAGAAGTTTTATTTATGTTGCCTAAGGTCAGTTATGTGCAAACTGTACTCAAAAAATCATCTTAACCTTGTTGGATTTTAACTTAATGAGCGAAAATTTATATGAGAGCTATATGAAAGCATGAACCGATTACATCTAAAATCAATGTTTTTCATCTAGTTAAAATTACGCCAAGTAGTTTGATTGCAGGATTTGCATGGACGGACGAACGGACGGATGGATACTGAGAATATATAATACTATAATATAATTGTAGAACATTTTCTCTAAAATGGATAATACCGGCACTGCTAAATGGTGTAGGGTATAAATATCAGACAATATTGATATTTGTTTGCTTGAATGAATGAATGGTTCAACCAATATTCCTACATATAAATAAACAAACCTCTAGCTGAATAGACCCAACAGCTGAGGGAACATAGATATTGTTAAAGATTTTTTTCTAAAAATTTGTATAAATATTTTTGTTTTAACTTTAATTTATTTAACTTACCTGATATAAACGCTGCCAACCATTACGATCTCCTGTTATTTTCTTATATTCCAATTCAATATTATTGGGCGTTGATGCCTCTAATGGTGGAGTATCATTGCTATTACCATCGCCGCCACCTGACATATTGGCTACTACTCTATTTGTAGAATTGTTACTAATATCAGCAGAACTATAATTTGTATCACTTACTCCAGCCGATGTTGACGACGAAGACGAAGATGATGATGTTGTAGAAGCTGACGATGATGATGATGAATTTGAAGTAGAAGTCATTGCCACTTCAGAATTAAAGTGTTTATTTGTATGTATTTGTGTCTATGGGTTTTAAAGCTGCTTTAATATTACACAAAAAAATTAAGAAACAAAAAAACAAAAACTAATATTTTCTTTTTTTTAATTTTTGGCTAAATGCCGATCTAACAAAGTTGTGTGTGCAGTTATTTTAACACAAATATTATTATAGTTGTTGTAGTTCTTTATTAAGTTGATGTTGTTCTTGTTGCTTTTTCGCTGTGTTGTTGCTACTGCTGCTGCTGTTGGTTGTACTGTCGCAATTTACTCTATAATTTTTTCTTTTACATTGAACACGTATTAAAACTAATTTTATAGATTTTTATTTCACCGAAATCTAAGGAATTAAATGAAAAAATAGCACTACACCACGCACGAATTAAATTACAATTTCCATTATATACAATTTTTCAAAATTCACATGAAATTGATTCTTCTTCTGCTGCTTCTTTTCTCCTTTTTTATATTTTTTTGCGTTACACACAAACACACACACACTCTTTTTCTAATTAATTTGTGTTCACTTTATTTTTTGCTAAATATTATTGTTTTATTCTCTTTTTATTGATAATATAAAGTTTGCTGATGTTGTTAACATTATTTTTTGTTAATGAAAATAATGCAAATGTTTATTGCAAATAAAATAAAACCCAATTAAATTCGCACTTTTCTTTCTCTTTTTTGGCAAAACTTGACAGAATGACAGAATGTAGAATAATGGATGCCAGAGATCTGCGTCGAAGAAAATGAACGGCGTTGACGGCTGACATAAAATGTTATGGCAACTTAAAATCGACTTTAAGCCGGATCAGTGCTTTTTAACACAAAATTTCAAAAATTATAGGTGCTCGAAATAAAAAAATATTAAAATTATGTGAAGAATTAGAATTATTTTAAATCAGCCGATTTTAAAAGTTTAATGAATTTTGATCGAGAAAGGTTTTATTATTTTCTTCCGAAATACAGTTTTTGTCGATTTGAAATCTATATATTTTTAAAAATGAATTTCAATACCTTAAAAATAACATTGTAATTTAAAATCTAAGAAATACATTTATTATAATAGTTACATAGCCGAAAAAGTGAAAATGCGCTAATTTATAATCAAAAGATTTTCCTAATAAATAATCCTTTTGTCACAATAACTTTTAAACCCTAAAATCTTCTAATTTATTACTATATAAGAAAATATAAAAAAAAAAACAAAAAAGCGAGTAGCTAAACAATAACTTCGACGCCAAATGATAATAAGGGAGCTAAATTTGACTCAAAAAGGCTAACCTGGTACATTCAAATATTTCAAGCATAATAACACTGTTTTAATGTACATATTGTTTGACTCAGGTATATATATATGTTAAGCGTTTAATAATAAGTATAATCAACATAAACTTTATTATTTTTATGCACAATTCAAATTGAAGAAAATAAATTTTAAATTGTGAAATTTCATAAAAATTTTATGAAACTACAAAAATTTTATATTTTTAAATGATTTTTAGCAGAAAAATGGTTTAACGACGTTGTTTTTTAAATTTTAACGGCGGATAGGCTTAGTCGGCATTTTGCAGAATCGACGCAGGTGTCAGATGGATGCACGAAACAAGTGTTGTTGCGTTGCACTTTAATTGACTGCATGGTTGTAAAATTTGGTATTAATTGATAAAGTTAGTGACGAAAAATCGCCGATTACAATAAATTAAATGGCACAAGTTTTTGTAACCTTGTTTAATTTTTGTAAATATTTCCTAGTGGGGATCTATAAACCGACTTTAATGATTCTATTTTTATTGCAAACATTTTTGAAAGTAAAATATATTTTATATTTTTAACATAAACGTTGAAAACAAATTTACTGTAAAAACCTCAACAAATTGGCAACACTGCTAATAAACGAACCACTCTGTTTGGAAAATGTAATAGATTAATTGCAAATAATTTAAAATTAAAGCATAATTTAGGGCGCCTTATTAAATGAAGAAATATTTTTTTTTGCCAACAGCACCGTTATAATTGGCTTTTTTGTTGTCATTTTACGATTAACAAAAACAAATAAAGAAGCAAAACTTTAAAGGAAAAATTAACACGTTTTTATTAAATTATCCTTAAAAAACTTGAAAGTTTCCAGTCGAAAATAAACAAATTTTATACGAAGCTAATATATAAAAAAATGTGCATTTTTTATTCTTAAAAAAGAAAACAATATTCAGAAAATTATACAAACTTTTCTAGAATTAATATTTTCATCACAAGAAAACACCATGTATGCAGCCGTCAAGCCATTGTCCAAATATTTGCAATTTAAATCAGTGCATATTTACGATATTATCTTCACTCTCCATTCCAAATGCACTGTGGTTATACTGCTGACATGTTCGTTCCTTCTGTCGGCCAAACAATATTTTGGCGATCCCATTATGTGCATAAGTGATGAATCGAATGTTGAATATGTCAATTCCTACTGCTGGACACTGGGAACGTATATTCTTAACTATTACGATTTGCAAATGCAAATAGATACAGTGAAAAATATGACAAGTAGTTCGAAAAGTTCTATAAGGGATCGTGGTAATGCGATATCAGAAGGTAAGTTCCTATAAAAATAAATTTTCGAAAATTGTATAAAAACGAAAATAATCGAAAAATGAATAAAATGATTAATTTTAGGTGTTGGACCAGAAGAAATCGGTAAAACTGAACGTGTTTATTTGCGTTATTACCAATGGATTATATTAGTTTTACTTTTACAAGCCTTAGTATTCTATTTTCCCTCGTTTTTGTGGAAAGTATGGGAGGGTCAACGTTTAAAACAACTGTGTTCGGAAGTTGGTAAGTTAAATGAAAATTCCTTCAACGTTTTAAAAGTAATATTGTATTCGAACATTATTCTCTCCAATTAGGTAATCCCCTGGTACCGGAAGACACCTATATATCGAGAAGTAAATTATTGGTTAAATATTTCACCTCCGATTACAGGGATATACATTTTTGTTATAATGCACGTTATTTATTCTGTGAAACTTTAAATTTCCTCATTAGTGTGTTGAATATCCTAATGTTGGAAGTATTTCTCAATGGCTTCTGGTCAAAGTATGTAAAAGCTATAGCCGCTATACCTAGTTATGATTGGACTACATGGAATGTTTTAACTTCACGTGTCTTTCCAAAAATTGCCAAGTGTCATATGACAAAGTATGGCTTTTCTGGTTCCACCACTTCATTGGATATACTGTGCATATTGCCGTTGAACATTTTGAATGAGAAACTGTTTGCTTTTCTTTGGATCTGGTTTTTAGCTATTTGTATATTGGCTGGTTTAAACTTAATATATCGTGGTATGCTAATTTTCAATGAACCCTTTCGTTTGCATTTATTATACACCAAATTGCGCATTATGCCCAAATCACATGTTCGCAGTGTCATAGAGGATATGAGTTATGGTGATTGGTTTGTTCTATTCAAGGTCAGTTCGAATATAAATCCCGTATTATTTCGTGATCTAATGAAAGAACTTTATGAAAATCGTAATCATAAAAAATCGTTAGGTTTTAATGTGTGATTTAAAAAAAAAAAAAACTTTTTTGTCTTCAATTGAATACTGCCTTTGAATTAGAATTGTTATTATTGATAATTGATCTCCTGAAAATTTTTTGTAAAGACTAAAATTTAATGAAAACACGTTCCTATATTAGTTTAGTTTTATAAGTTGTAAAATGCCTTTAAATATAGACGCATTAAACGCTTTAATGAATACATTTATAATTTAATGTATACGAGTTAATCTTCAAATTAAACACTTTCGTTATAACTCTTGTTTATTTTCAATATATTTTGAATTGAATTCTTGATTTTTTTGTTTATTTCTTATTTATGCTTTAAAACACGACTTTTTTATATTTCATGAATTAATTTTATTTTCTTGCAAATTATTTTTGATACATATCTTCCGTACAATAACCGTGAATATAAATAATATTTTTGAATTCTACTTTAAAGAAAAACCTTTATTTTCAGTTTATATTTAATGAAAATAAAATGTTTGTATTTTTGTATAAAAATTTACAAAACTAATAAAGCATTGTTTTTTTATTTTATTTTGGAGTTTACGAAAATTTTCTATAAAAAACGAGAATATTGCGAAAATTTAATAATTGAACTGAACTAGAACTGAACTAGAACTGCACTAGAACTGAACTAGAACTGAACTAGAACTGAACTAGAACTAAACTAGAACTGAACTAGAACTGAATTAGAACTGGGCTAGAACTGAACTAGAACTGAACTAGAACTGAACTAGAACTGAACTGAACTAGAACTGAACTAGAACTGAACTAGAACTGAACTAGAACTGAACTAGAACTGAACTAGAACTGAACTAGAACTGAACTAGAACTGAACTAGAACTGAACTAGAACTGAACTAGAACTGAACTAGAACTGAACTAGAACTGAACTAGAACTGAACTAGAACTGAACTAGAACTGAACTAGAACTGAACTAGAACTGAACTAGAACTGAACTAGAACTGAACTAGAACTGAACTAGAACTGAACTAGAACTGAACTAGAACTGAACTAGAACTGAACTAGAACTGAACTAGAACTGAACTAGAACTGAACTAGAACTGAACTAGAACTGAACTAGAACTGAACTAGAACTGAACTAGAACTGAACTAGAACTGAACTAGAACTGAACTAGAACTGAACTAGAACTGAACTAGAACTGAACTAGAACTGAACTAGAACTGAACTAGAACTGAACTAGAACTGAACTAGAACTGAACTAGAACTGAACTAGAACTGAACTAGAACTGAACTAGAACTAGAACTGAACTAGAACTGAACTAGAACTGAACTAGAACTGAACTAGAATTGAATTAGAACTGAACTAGAACTGAACTAGAACTGAACTAGAATTGAACTAGAACTGAACTAGAACTGAACTAGAACTGAACTAGAACTGAACTAGAACTGAACTAGAACTGTACTAGAACTTAACTAGAACTGAACTAGAACTGAACTAGAACTGAACTAGAACTGAACTAGAACTGAACTAGAATTGAATTAGAACTGAACTAGAACTGAACTAGAACTGAACTAGAACTGAACTAGAACTGAACTAGAATTGAACTAGAACTGAACTAGAACTGAACTAGAACTGAACTAGAACTGAACTAGAACTGAACTAGAACTAGAACTGAACTGAACTCGAACTAGAACTGAACTAGAAATAACGTGTAACTCATGTAATGTAACTTTAATTTCAAAACCGTTCTTAAAGTTCAATGATTTTTTGCGCAGTTGAATGACCTCTTTTTAACCATTAACAAACTCCCTCACGCATATTTTTGCAATTATAAACAAATAATTTTAAATTAAGAAAAAAAACTTTAGCCAAATAACAAAATAATTTCCTAGTCTAAGCTAAAAATTTTGTTTTTAAAATCAAATCGAAACGTTTATATACGTCTACCTTAGACTTGACTTTAGCAGCAGTTTTTTGTGGAAGCCAACAAACTTCCAAAATATACAAAATCAGCAATAAAATGCAGGCAAACCAATATTTTCATTAATACAATAATTATTTTTATGAAAATGTTAAATAAAAAAGTACTTAGAACAGCATAAAATTAAATTGCAATAATAATACTATTATTTGGGTCGTTTCAACTGTGGACAATTTGTGTAGTTTTTATTGCTGTGCAGACAAACGAACTACAACAATAATTGCAATGTCGTCCCACTTTTGAAATGCTTCATAAACCGAGCAAATGGCCCTCAACAGGTTCAGTTAACTTGCGTGGTATTACGCGAACGGAAGTATTTTAAAGCGAATAAAAAGTGTAAAAAAAAAGAAGAAAAATAAACGGTCGATTAATAAAGTGAAAATAACTATAGGAACTCCTGCCAAATTGGATTACCTGGCATTATTGTGGATTAGCAGCAGCCCTGTATAATATTGAGTGGATTAATTGAAATGTGTTAATAAAAGTGCAGTTTTATCCTTATTCAGGATCATACAAGAAAAAAGGATATTTAAAGCATAATTAATTAATATGATTTTTTAAAACAAGGATAACTCTAAAAAGGATAATAAATAATTATTTTACAATAATTGAAAAAATGTCAACAAAATTAAAGCTTACAAGTGATGGTAAATTATATATAAAATTTTCATATCCTTAAACAAGTGTTTTAATAAAATTTATGAAAAAGGATAATGAAATAAAATAAAATTAATTTAAATTAGTTTTTTTAAGCAAATAACGAAAAGTGAAATTTAGTTTACTTAACATAAATTTATTAAAAAAAATTAAAAAGCCATGTCATTAAAAAATTAGCAATAATTATGGCAAAAATGTTTTTTTTTTTTACAAAATCAAATTAAAGTTGAAGTGACACAAATAATTGCATTATACTTAAATAAATAATTGACATAATTCATAAAATATTTTTGAATGTGAAACATTTTAAATGAATAAAAGGATTTTAATTAAAAAAGGATGTTTTATAATTATCCTTTGAACATTTATAATAAAAGAATGTTGAGATGCCACAAGGATAACATCATTAAAATAATAAAATAATTAATAATTAATTAATGTAAATAAAAATTACAATTTATTTCGAAGTATTAATAGGTTTTAACAAATCGTTCTTCGCGACGACGTAAACTCAGGCACCGCATCGAAATCCTTGAAGAAATTTACTCGTTCTAAATACAATCCTGCTATTAAATCTGGAAAGTTCGGTCAATTCTGTTTTTATGAACATAGTTGTATCTATTAAGGCCCTCAACTCCAACATAATAAGGCTTTTCAACTGTCACTTGTCACAATGAGACAACACTTTTTCGAATTAAATAATATGGAGTCTTAGACATCAGGTTATTCGAGGAACTGAATGAAAACCGTGACATCGAATATTAATGATGGTCTAATGGTAGATCTTGATCCTGTATTTTACACGAATGAGCCCTGAATCTTTTGATCCTTGATAGTTATTCTTTAAAGATAAATTTACTAGAGTCCGCAGACTAAGATATCTGGAGTTTGTTCCTCAAGGAGCTACACATACAGTTAAAAAATTAACTACGGTTTTGTTAAAATAATCTATCATGACTGTAGGGTCGTTTAGATTGAAATATTTACATTAATAATAGACCTCAGTATTCGTGGAAATATTGGAATCTTCGCAAATAACCCTGTTGTGTTTATTCATTCATTAAATTCCTTTATAAGGGTTTAATAAGGGTTTAACGAATCGTTCTTCGGGACGACTTAATCTCAGGCACCGCATCGAAATCCTTGAAGAAATTTACTCGTTCTAAATACAATCTTGCTATTAAATCTGGAAAGTTCGGTCAATTCTGTTTTTATGAACATAGTTGTATCTATTAAGGCCCTCAACTCCAACATAATAAGGTTTTTCAACTGTCACTTCTTTAAATGAGACAGCACTTTTTCGAATAAAATAATATGGAGTCTTAGACATCCGGTTATTCGAGGAACTGAATGAAAACCTTGACATCGAACATTAATGATGGTCTAATGGTAGATCTTGATCCTGTATTTTACACAAATGAGCCCTGAATCTTTTGATCCTTGATAGTTATTCTTTAAAGATAAATTTACTAGAGTCCGCAGACTAAGATATCTGGAGTTTGTTCCTCAAGGAGCTACACATACGGTTAAAAAATTAGCTACGGTGTTGGTAAAATAATCTATCATTGTCTATCGTATGACTGTAGGGTCCTCAGTATTCGTGGAAATATTGGAATCTTCGCAAATAACCCTGTTGTGCTTATTCATTTATTGAATTCCTTTATAAGGGTTTAATATAGGTTTAACGAATCGTTCTTGGGGACGACGTAATCTCAGGCACCGTATTGAAATCCTTGGAGAAATTTACTCCTTCTAAATACAATCTTACTATTAAATCTGGAAATTTCAGACAATTCTGTTTTTATCAACATAGTTGTATCTATTAAGGCCCTCAACTCCAACATAATAAGGTTTTTCAACTGTCACTTCTTCAAATGAGACAGCACTTTTTCGAATTAAATAATATGGAGTCTTAGACATCAGGTTATTCGAGGAACTGAAGTTTTTCTTGAATGAAAACCTTGACATCGAACATTAATGATGGTCTAATGGTAGATCTTGATCCTGTATTTTACACAAATGAGCCCTGAATCTTTTGATCCTTGATAGTTATTCTTTAAAGATAAATTTACTAGAGTCCGCAGACTAAGATATCTGGAGTTTGTTCCTCAAGGAGCTACACATACGATTAAAAAATTAACTACGGTGTTGGTAAAATAATCTATCATTGTCTATCGTATGACTGTAGGGTCGTTTAGATTGAAATATTTACATTAATAATAGACCTCAGTATTCGTGGAAATATTAGCATCTTCGCAAATAACCCTGTTGTGCTTATTCATTCATTAAATTCCTTTATAAGGGTGTAATAAAGGTTTAACGAATCGTTCTTGGGGACGACGTAATCTCAGGCACCGTATTGAAATCTTTGGAGAAATTTACTGCTTCTAAATACAATCTTACTATTAAATCTGGAAATTTC